CGAAGGAGAACGACTATTAGGAATTTTTTTTAAAATTTACATTGAACCTAAATCTGCCTCTCTGAAATTTCTACCAATTGATCCTTCATTCTATCCTCTGGGACCAAACAGAAAAAAGTCTAATTTCTCTTCAGCATGACAGTCCTTCAACTATTCAAAAATAAATACTTTTAAGTCTTCTCTCCCTTGGGCTAAACATCCTCAGTTCCTGTAACTGATTCAATGCAATGCAGGCCAACAGACATGAATTAAACCTCCTATGGCCAGTGCACCGTCTTAAACTGAAGACACAAAGACAGACAACCTCCGTCTTTGAGGAGCTTCCATTCTCCTGGGGAAGATGAAACATGTATGCATATAAGGAAACAGAGAACTATATACAAAGTAATTTCAAGATAACTAACAACTGGAAGTGGGAGGATTTAGAAAGGATTCATAGCAGGTGGCAACGTAGCTGTGCCTTGGAGGAAATTAAAGATTTAAGAGGCAGAGTTGAGGAGGGCCTGCGTTTCAAATATGGCGACCACTCATGCAAAAGACTTAGAGGTAGGAGATGCAATAGGCAACAGGTCAGCCTGATGACAAAGGAGAGTATGTGAAAGTAAGTAATATGAAACAAGACTGGAAAGATAAATGGGAGTCATATTAAAGATGGCTTTAAATTCTAGGTTGAGGTTTTGTATTTTATCCTACGGATCTTTGGGAACCCCTGACGATTTTTGAGTTGGGGAATAACATGGTCAGTTCTGTGTTTTAGGAATACCAATTTGGCAGCTGCATGGAGAATGGGTGGAAATAAGACCCTGGAAATGGAAACAACAAGGGGGTCATTGTAATAATCTAGGTTAGGAGCCCTGAGGATTTGAACTAGGGCTGAAATGAATGTTTACATTAATTGTAAACACTTGGTAACTCTTAGGATGTGGGGAGAGAGGGGCAAGTCGAGAACGACTCTAAGTTTCAAGCTTGGAAAGGATGGGGATATGCCCAACAGAAATAGGGAAGCTTGGATGAGGGATAGGTCTATATATCACAGTTTCTAGTCCTCTCAAAATTTTAATCTCCCTATTCTGGATGTGCTCCACTTTGTCAGTGTTCTTCCTAAAATGGGAGTGCAATACAAAGGTCAGAATATAGTGGAACTATCATCTCTCTTATTCAGGTCACTATACTTCTGTCAACTTAACTTAAAGTTATATTTGCTCCTCTAACTGCCATGTCCTCCCGTTCTGTTGACTTGTAGCGTACTGAAACCCCCTTGTTGTTTTTTCACATGAATATTGTCTAGATACAGCTCACCATCTTATATTTCTACAGGTGGTATTCTAAATCCATATGTGAGACCCTACACTTATCCCTCATTAGTTTCTTCTTTCATTGAATCATTTAACCAAACTTTTTCCTTGTCAGTTCTATCATTCAATATGAATGGTTTAAGTCCCTAAAACATGGAAAGGAAAGGTAGAGAATTCTCATCCTCAGAGGATCAAAACCCACCTCCTCCCTCAAACATTCTCTGCCATGCAAAAGTCTGATATCTTTGAGGTGAAATTCTCTCTGCAAAGATTAAAGTTCCCTAAACCCAAGTCCTACAAAAAAAAAATAGTAGGGGAAATGGAAGGAAGAGGTAAATTGTATTTAATTTCTTTGAAAATCTTTCCAATTTCCATTTGGCCTATTTCCTCATTTGTATTAGACCCTGGACACTCTGGTAATTTTGTTAGCTGTCAATGTATTCTAACTCTGGTGGATAGAAGCCTTGTAACAGCAGGGCTTATGTTTACTGTCAGCCCTATAAAGTTCTCCAAAGTGCTTGGTAAATGAAGGTTGGAACTTAGGATAGAACAAATACCACAAAGGAGGTGGAGCAGGTCTGTAGGATGCCAAGTCACTAAGAATTTCAAGTCACTGCTGCTTTCCCTTCGGGAAATTGGGACAAGTTACCTGATTGCCCTCTAGAGGCCAAGCTTAGTACATATGAAATAACTGATAATGAGATCCCCAGACACAGAGAAAGGTCTTGCTTAGGAGGCTGCTGTGACAAGAGAGGAAGGTTTATACCAGAATCCAAGTGAATCATTCCTTCCTTTCACTCCTTTCTCCCCAGAGCTATCCCAAATGTGACAACATCCCCGGAGGCCTTCATTGCTTGTGCCAATCCAGTCTCCAGGCCCAGCTGCCTCCCTGCCCATCATCAGGACTTCCTCTTTAGATATATGTCAGGCTGCTTATACCTTTCTAGCAAAGGCACCAGGGGACAGCAAGCTAGATAAGGCAACTAACAGTAGAATGGGCTTCAACCATAGGGGCGAAGGTTAGAAATGAAGAGAACTTGTGAAACTCAGTGACAAATTTTTAAAAGGGGGGGGAGCAGTTTACATGTTTTCTTGTTTGATCATCACAGCAACCTCGTATGGTAGGTATGATTATTATCCCCATTTTATATTCAGGGTCTGAATCTTGCTGCTTGCAATGTGAGTCCCCTGGGGAAAGGTACCCCAGATTCAAGGAACTTTGTGGGTGTGCCTCCACTAAAATTTCAAGAAAGTAACAACCAGAAGTGGGAGGATCTGGAAAGGATTCCTAAGAGGTGGAAACTGAGTTGTGCCTTGAAGGAAGCTAACATAGCTTAAAAGGCCCCTTATGTGACTACCTTTACTAGTCAGCCAGAGTACAAGGTTAGTTCAAAGCAGTAATATGACAGTAATAAAATGACAGTAATAAAAGATTTCCCCCATAAACTTGGGGGCACACTTTCCCACAAATACACATACTATCAGTAGGAAGAAGTCACAGACAAGGAATATATATGGCAACAACACATTTGCACCCTTATCACTGAACCATGTTATCTGGCTGACTATTAAAAGCTGATATGGTCTAGTTACATCATTGCACTTCTCCTGCTGAACCTGATCCCCACTGGTCTCCCCTGGGCATGCAGGCTCTATTGGATGTCTCCATTGGCTCTTGCTGTCCTGGATGCATAACATCTGGTGGACATTGCCAGGACCAGCCCCATTGGTCATGTGGGTGTAGAGTCAGCTTCCATTTTATGGTTTCAGTTGATGCACTTGATGGTAAGACTATCTCTTCCTCATTAGAAGTCTGGGCTTCTATAGTATTTTTTACAGGTCTTTTAGGAAAACAGCAACTCTCAGCCTGACATCTAGCATTAGTGCAAACAGCCATAGAAATGAAATCTCAGATTTTTTTTCAACCCTTATTACTGTCTTGCTCCCTTCAAAAGCTAGGCTACTGAGATCTCTCATCTTGAGCAGGAGAGTCTCAGCCTCTTGCTCCAAGCCTTTTAGAACAAAACTCTTTAGAACCAAGGACAGATATGTTTCTAGCTAATTAGTACTTTCAGGCTCTAGCATGTTTTGTTTTGTTTTGCTAAACTTCCTGGTTGGTTGCAACTCATGGAGCTTCTTCAGAGTTTCAGTAACATAGTCCTTGAGAGAGGACACATACGATGGGTATGTGCTGGCAGAAAGAAGAAAGTGTTAAGGGGGCAGCTAGGTGGCACTGTGGACATAGTTCTGGGCCTGAAGTTAGGAAAACCTGAGTTCAAATCCAGCCTGACACTCACTTGCTATGTGATCTCGGGAAAGTCACTTAAGCTCTGTTTGTCTCAGTTTCCTCATCTGTAAAATGGGGATAATAGAAGCACCTTCCTCCCAGCATTGTTGTGAGAATCAAATGAAATTGTAGAGCACTTACCACAATGCCTGGCACATAGTTAAGTGCCATGTAAATGTTAGTTATTATTAATAATTCTTCATGTTGCTGGAACCCTACTAACCTTGTGCTCTTGGGTCTTTAGTATCAAGGATGAGAAATGAAATGAAGAGCTCTTTTAGTCCTTTAGATTTAGCCTTTTGGTTATCTTCTTCCTAAAATTTCTAGCCTTCTTCTGGGGCCCGAGGTCTCATGCCCAGCCTTGGTCTTGCCACTTTACCTTGGCTGCTGGTCACTCTAGACAGGCAACAGGTGAAATAGCCTAGATGTGCCTATATTTGGAGACTTATGTGCATATACATGTATGTTTATGCATGTTTTGGGGGCAGTTGGGAATTGTACATGTGTAGTCATATATTAGCACCTTTCTTCATGTGTGTGGGTGAGCATATGTATATGTAAAGGGATTCATGTATAGGTTGTGTCCAAGTGTGAAAGTTGGAAGGGTTATTTAGTGCTACCCCTACCAAATAATGAATCCATTCTACAAGATCCCCAACAAATAATTACCCAGCTTCCACTTGAAGACCTTCCTTGACAAGGGGTTCTCTGCCTCCTGAGGCAGTTCATTTCATTTTTATATAGTTCTAATTATTAGGAAGTTTTTCCTTATATTAAACTAAAACCTATCTCCTTATAATTTCCACCCTTTGTTCTCCTAATTCTGCCCTCCATGGCTAAACAAAACAAATCTAATCCCTTCTTCCACATATGTGCTCTTTGCCATCATATCTTTCCCTCCCCACAAATCTCTTCTGTACCCTAAACATTCCCAGTTCCTTCAAGTGATTCTCATATGGCGGATTCTGGGCATGCCTTTCCCCCACCCCCACTACTGTGGCAAAGTGTCTCAACCAGAGAAAGGAGTAGAAACCTAGAAGTTGAGGCCGAGCAGGGAAGCCAGAAGTGGAGTAAGCATTTCACAGGGTGTGTGTGTGTGTGTGTGTGTGTGTGTGTTTAAGTGTAGGGTAGAAAGAGCATTCTCTAAAACACTAGTCATAGACTCTCAGTGTTAGAATTCATAGCGTTAAAGTGAAAAGTGACTCTAGAAACCATATACTCCAAACTCTACAGAGTTAATTTATAGATGGGAAAACTGAGGTGCAGAGAGTGGGTGATATGATCCTGTTGGGATCCCACAGCAAAGTAGCTGCAGAGTCTAGAGTAGAACTCAGGTCTCCTGACTCCCAACCCAAGGCTTTTCCTACTACGCTGAATCCTGAGATTTCCTGGTTCACTTTGCTTCTTCTTCCTTGCAGCCTAGGAATCCCAGCCCCAGGAGGGACCTGCCCATCAACTTTAACCGCTATGCCACAAAAAAGAGTGTTTCGGAGAGCATGCTGGATGTGGCCCTCTTCATGTCCAATGCCACTCGACTGAAGGCTGTTCTGGAACAGGAACCATCCTCCCCCTACTACATAATCCTGGTCACCCTCCTCAGCATCTCTCTCCTCTTGCAGGTGGTCATTGGGATCCTCCTCATCATAACTGGTGAGGAACCAGGGATATTGAAAGAGCTGTTCCTTGTTGCATCTTGCACCTAAGGGTTGCTTGAGGATATCTAGCAAAGGGGGAACATATTACCTCCCAACACAGCCAATTCTATTTTGGTTTAACTTACAGGACATTGTTCTCTGACGTTAAGCCTAAACATACTTCCCTAAAACTTCTACCCTTTGCTCCTAATTCTTCACTTGGGAGCCAAATAGGACAAATCTCTTTCCCACCGGATAGCTTCCCCAGATTTTTTTTCCTGGTTTTTCCTAGATTGCTTTCAGTTTTAAATTCTTCAGTTTTTAAAGGAACATTTTATTCTCACTCATTGGGGAGGGGAGGGGAGGGGAGGTTGGTGTTGGGGCTTTCCCTTGTCCCTTTTGAGAAGGGATATCAACCTTCCTCCACTACAATGCAATGACTTTGTAATGTCAAGAAGACATTGTTCAATCTTAGCATGTCACTGAAAATCTCCCCTTCCCCTCCATAACTTATCTAATCTTCAGTCTTCTGTTGGGCTTTTTCTTGAAGTCAACTTGTGGTGGGCATTTTTGTTGCCATGGTCTGCTGCCTAGCCAAGGCTTTGCTGTGATACAGTAAGATGACACATTTTGCAAACCTTAAAGTTCTATTATTGATGATGATGATGATGATGGTCAAATTGTGAAAGCCCTTTATAAACTACAAAATGCTATGCAAATATAAAGTATCATTACAGCTGTTAAACATTGCCTAATAGAAGCCCCAAATACTGGCCCATGATGGAGAAGGAGAAATTTCAGCCTTCTGACTGCCTTACCCTACCCCATGCACACTGCTGCACCTAGAGCTCCAGTCTATGGTTCTAGCTTGTGAGGCTTTAAAAGAGATGCCCACCTGTGGCCTCTGGCTTTGATATCTATACCCACTCATCTACCACACTTTTCCAATTCTCTACAGCTCGAATGAATTTGAATGAGGTGTCAAAGCAACAGTGGCTGAACCAGCTCAACAATACAACAATGGTCATGGTCTTCCTAACTGTCATCATCAACATTTTCATCACGGCCTTTGGGGTACAGAAGATAGGGCAACCCTGGCCCACACCCAGGCCCTACTGAATCTAGCCTGGGGCCTAGGTGAGGATAAAGGATGGAAGGACACCGTTCAAGCACACACATGGTCCACTCCCTGGCCTCTGGAAGGGTGTTGGGGGGAAGGGTGGGATCCTTGCAGAACAAGAGAGTACCTGCCTAAACACCAATGGGGTGAGGCTTGGGAAAGGGCCAAAATAAGGAGATGGGGGAGGGGTAGGTCAGATTATGAAGGGCAGCAGCAACAGAGGAGGAGAGGAGAGTCTGTGGGCAGGGCCCTCAGCAATTTCTAGGAATTAAGTATGAAGTAAACTTCCCTTTGCCCTGTCTTAGACTTGCTATGTGGTGTTCAAGGGGAGACACTTGTTCTCTCCTAGACCTAAGCTTTTCTCATGGTTAGGAGTGGTCAGCTCCTATGGTGAAAAGAATAATGGAAGTAAAAAGTTTTTCATGCCCAGCTCACCTCTCTTTTTGTTTCTCCTACAGGTGAGTGCCCTGGAGCGCTTTCTACTTCCTTTCCCTTTGACTTCTGCCAGCTCTGAGGACCTCTGCCCAGCTTATTGGGCCTTCCCCGTAGCACCTGGAAAGGCTCCTAACGTGGAAGTGTTAAATCCCCAGTACAAGTATTTGGTTCTATTGGTCAATGTGAAATCTGTATTGGTAGCTCTGGATGCCTTGTGCCCAGAGTGGGGGACACTGTCATCCTTTCTAGTACTGTTCTCTCAAACCCACAACTCTGTTACAAGGTGCGTGAGTCTGGAGTTACTGCCTCCAGGTCAACCATATTCCTTTTCCTATTGCATACCCATCCTCCTCTTTCTAAAAAGAAAAGAGCAATCTCTAACTATAAAGTGATCTGCTAAACCAATAAATAGGTGTCATTCTTTATACTTTTCAGTTCATAAGCTAAAGGGACCTCAGAGGTCATCTAGTTCAAACCCCCCCCCCCCATTTTACGAATGAGGACACTGAAGCCCAGGGAAGTTTACGTAATTTGCCCAAAGTCACACACATACAGATATTAGGTCAGAGGCAGAATCTGACCCCGTGCCTTCTGACTCTAGAGCTCTTTCCACCAAACCACACTGCTAGTTGTGTATGCCCATTTAAGAGGACAGTCTTAGGCTTCTTCAAGTGCACCACCCAGCTCTGGAAGAGAACATACCTAGAACTTTGAGACAGAGAAGACTACTCAAATCGGCCCTTTTCTTTAGGATTCCACTGTCAAATAGTTTCTTCCTCCCTGCTTGGGCAGCCTTCCACTAGGGGTTTGCCAGGTTGATTTCAGGCACTGTCAACTTTTGATCATTCATGGGTACATTATCCATTTTGTGGATTACCATCGCAAAATTTTAATCAAAGTTTGGCTTTTTCCCCAATAACATACCATTTTCCTTCCAGTTTCCCCACACAGCTGCCAGGACATGCTCAGAGAATGCAAACTGATTTTAACGTTAGCCAAGCACAAGCAGAAAAGTCAACCTGTAAACTGTGAGAGTTGGAAGGTGCCAGAGAGGTAACCTAGGCCCTCATTTTATAAATGAAGGACCTAGAGTCCAGAGAGGCTGTGACTTGCTCAAGTTCACAGAGGCAGAGATTCAACTTGAATCCAGGTCATTTCACTGAGTTTGCTTGGATAGAACCTATAGAAAGATCAGATAATGTATTCCCAACCCCAGATGGAAGTCATTTTTGGAGTATCTGCTGCTTTAAGGTAATCCTAACCACAGCTCCTTCCAATAAATGTGAACCACTGAGAACTAACCAAATAGGATTATTTTGGAATAAGTTGTGGACATTACTTTCCCCAAATCTGCCTGGTCCCATGCTCAAAGCTTCTAGACTGAAGCTTTCAAGTGAGAGGCTCAGCATTCATTGGCTCTAGGTAATAATAACGATCTCACATTTACACAGCAGTTTCAGCCCTGAGAGGTGATTTTATAGCATCACAGACGGAGTTCAAAGTTCACCTAGTCCAACCCCCTCATTCTACAAATGAGGAAATAGAATATCTGGTAACACAGGTAATAAGTGACAGAGCCTGGAATTGAACTTTCGTACCTTGCACCATGCTTATTAGCCCCATTTTGCAGATGGGGAAACTGGGACTCGGAGAGATTAAGTGTGACTTGCCCACAGCCATATAGCTAAGGTAGTGTCAGAGCAATGCTACAAGTCTGCTGATTTTCCACTACATCACCCTATTAGCTGGTAAATTCTCTGAGGGCAGAGACCATTTCTTCTCCCATTATAATTCCATGGAACCTAGAATCACACAAAGCAGACACCTAATACATTGTTACATGTGAGGGTAGCATTGATATCCTTGACATAGCCATTGGTGGATGTGAGACATGACTGACAGACATGAGACAGAGGCTATGATACCCTTTGTCCCAAACCCTCCCTGCATGGATAGGTAAGAAGAAAACACAAGACCTGGATTTTTCTAAGAAGATGCTATATTTAGCCTTTTCTTTCCCTGACCCACTCTTTCTTTTATAGAACAGAGACCTAGGGGGCCTCTCTTCCTTAAGGCAGATGGTACAGAGGTAACAGTACAGAAGTCAAACACGAGGCACTTAGGTTCAAGATCCAGGGAAGGAAATTGTGGTGTGGGACTGGGGGGTTGGGGCAGGGGCTCTGGGAACCTGAAGGAGAAGATGAACCAGGAGGGTGATTTCCAATTTGCCTTTTCCAGTCAAAGCCTATTTCAGACCTTTCAAAGAAGTTTCTGCAGAGGAAAACTACTCTGAGAGAAAATGGACACCTCCATGGACGACCGCAACTCTCCTCTTCTCTCTGTCACTGGCTCTGTTCAGAATGCAGCAGGTTTGACTGAGGATAGAGTTCAGCTATAGGCTGAGGTCTTGGACCCTGATTCACTTCCCCCTAATCCCCTTCCCATTAACCAGGGGGCTTCCTTCTTTTCTTCACATACCTAGACAGACATTGGAGTACTGAGACTCAGTACTGAATGCACCATTGGTGAATGCAGCAGCAGGAGAATCCCCAGTCACAAAGGCAGCCTGGGGATTAGTGCAAGATTCATATGTAATGACCAAGTGGGGAACAGCAGGCAGAGGTAGCAGGATGGTGAATGGGCCAAAGGGCTGTGTTCCTAATGATGCTCTTCAATTATTGTCCTCACTCCTCTCCTTACTCTAGGGGAGGAGCTTCCTCCCTTCTTGTTCCTCCCACGCCGAGTTCCAGGAGCTCCAGCTAATTCAGAGTGATCCTTACCTTTTCCAGGTGTCTATTTGGAAATATTTCAAATTACAAAGGCTGAGGAGGAACAAACAATACTTGAACCCCTTCCTGTACTTCTACATGGACCAGCAGTTCCCTTTTCCTGCTTTCCTCCCATGTTTTTTTCTCTCCACTACCTTTCCCTAGAGAAGAGATTCTCTATTCCTCTGCTCTGCAGAAAACAGTCCATAAATCCAGTGGTGAAGGTGGGAAGTTGGGATGGGGCTTGGAACTCCACACACTCCCACTTTCCCTTTAAAATCTACTCCTTGTAGTTTCCATATTGGTTACTGGCCCCAAAGGAGTGGTGGGGTGGGGATTTCAGCCCTGTGCTCTGGCCAGCCTGAGCTTAGCTTCTCTGGCTGGATAAGGTTAATGCCCTGTTGCTGATGGCCAAGTCAGGTGATTGGAAGCACTTGCTTTCGGTCTTTTTGTGAGAGGAATGAGGGACAGGGATATGGGCTGAGACAGGGAGGATCCCCATCTTGAGAAGGCTTGACTCTTGGAGTATGTTCAATAAGGTTTCAACCTTGATCACAAGAGAGCTTCTGGGGAAGGAATGGGGGAAACAACATGACATAGTAGAGGGTCAGAGATCCACTATTGAGAATATTCCCCAAATGTACCACCTCATCCCTCTGGGGAGTTGTTTCCCCTCTGAGAAATCAAAGATTTTCATAGTCAGTGTTGGTTGAGAGAGGATGGTGGAAAGATACCATCTCCCACCCCTCTACCACCAACCAATAATTTTTTTTAAAGAGAAAGTCTGTTTCACGGTCTTGCTCCCTACAAAGGGCCAGCTGGTAGTGGAAGGCTTCTTATCTGGTGAACAGATTGCTTCTTCCCTTGCCACTTTCCACTTCCTGAGGAGGTATTCCAACTTTGCCACCCAGGCCTGGACCCCACCACCCTCCACAGACCCTCTGCTTAGAAATCCTTCCTGTCGTGTGCCCAAAAGGCTCAAAGGAAGGGGGACATTGCAACACTGCCACCTATTCAGACTCCACATTCAGGTCCACAGGTGGCAAGATGGCTCTCAATAGTGTTGGGTAGGGTGCGAGGGGGTGCTGGCTCACTCCTCCTATTTGTTCTTATTCCCCCTCCAGTGGTGGGCAGGAGCGGAAGCATCTGCAGGTCAGGAGGCAGGAATTAGGCAATTCTGGCTGGGCATCCTTCTGAGATCATGGCATGTTCAACTGGCGACGGTTCCACATGCCCCGCTTGGAGTGATATCGATGGAAGAAATTCCTAAGGGAGAGACGTTCCACTTCTAGGCCAGCCTGTAGAATCCTGAAGAACCAAGAGACAGGAGAAGCCAACATAAGTGGCAAGGAGATATGGGGAAGATCTTGGGGCCCTTAAGAATATATTCCCATTCCACAGTGGAATAGAGCTCCAGCCTTGGAGTCAGGAGGACCTGAGCTCAAATCTGGCCTCAGACACTTGACACATACTAGCTGTGTGACCCTGGGCAAGTCACTTAACCCTGACTGCCTCACCAAAAAAGGGGGGAAAAAAAGAATATATCCACATTCACAGTGAGGTCTCTCTCTCACATTTAGGCCTTCCTCCGATGGCCTGCACACACTAGGGAAATGTCCACAGGCAGGTGGCTCTTCAGCTCATCTTCTAGAGGTCAGTGGGACAGAAGGAGAATGCTAGGCTCACTAGAGATGGGTGGAAAATTTAGGGCCACCTTCACTGGCCTTTTTAAACCCTCTCTCTGTCCTGGGATCATCCTAATCAATCTCACCCTCTGGACAACCCTGTGACCGTGGGAAGAGGGGAGTCTGTGCGCCCCTCTGTACCTAGAATAAAGCTCTGAATAGAGCAGATTATAATGGAGAGGCAGAAAACTGGCTTTGAAGCCAGGAAGCCAGGAAGACATACTGCTGATGTGACACCAGGAAAGTCATTAAAATCTCAGAGCTCTAGGCAATTCTCTAAGACTCTAAGTGGTAGAGAAGATGCTAGCCTACATTAGTAAAGGGAGTTTCCTCATCTTTCATCTCCATATTTCCTGATCCTGCTCATACTTTCTCTACCAATTCTACCTCCATCAGTATCCCAAGTTGGAGTACCGATACTATCCCCTCTTTCATGTTCCTCTTCCTCTGATGGCCTGCACACACAAGGGAAATGTCCACAGGCAGGTCATCAGGGCTATGCCTGTCCTGTTGCCTTTTGTGTTACGTCTGGCTAGAGGTAGAAATAGCTGGAATCAGATGGCACTCATATTTCAATAAGCCTTAGAAGCTTCCCTGGACCACAGAGAAAGGCAATGAAACGGGAGTGGGCAGGAAGGGATGCATCACCTTTGTTTGATTTCATTCTGCTCTCTCAAACAAGCATGAAGCAACGTTATTTTCTACAGGGTGTCCCAAAAGTCTCACAGCAGTGCTCTAAGGCTTATAAATGCACTAAGACTTTCGGGACACCCTATATAATGCTTTCCTCAGGTTATCCCTCTGCTAAAAAAACTGTAAGTAGCTCCTTATTTTCTACCATATCAATCATTTAGTTAGTCAATAAACATTTATTAAGTGCCTAATAGGTGGTAAGTGTTAAGGATACAAAAAGAGGCAAAAGACAGTCCCTCCCCTCA